ATTTTTTTTTAATATTTTTAAATTGTTTTCTTTATATAAATAAATGTTTTATATAACAATATTTTTATACGAAGATTTTAAATTAACTTTATGTAAGAAATGCGATACTATATTTTAAATTCCAGCTTTTTTAATTTAAGAAAAAAAATGTATATTTTAAATAAATATTATTTTTTGTTTGAAAAATATATTTTATTTTTTCACAAAATATTTTATATTTTCTAAAATATATTCCGTAAGAAAATTCCACAATATTTTTCTACTATATTATAGGTTTTGCTTTATTTTATGCAATTATTGCTATTTTATCTTTAAAATATTCCTTTTTGATATATGAGAATTATTGAAATTATTATATTTAGTAAATGGATTTTTCATGTGAAGATTGTATTTTATGCGAATTACTCTTTACTTTTCGTTTGGGCCTATATTACTATAAAAGAAAAGCTCTATTTTTTAAATATAAATATATTTTACCTTAAATAATAAATTTTTATTTAAGAGCAAATTTTATATGAAAATTATATATATAGCCCTTCACATAAAGCATTGTTTTTTATTTTAGAATCTTCCGGCCTTATAAACAAATACTGTATAAGCATACATACATTGAATCTATATGAGAATAGTTCGTGTATTTTATTCTTTTCTTCTGAGTAAATACAGATTTTTACCTTGTTTACTTACGTAAATATTTTTATAAAATCTGAAGCATTATTTTTTATTTTGTATAAGGTTATTTTATATTAAGTAACATTACTTTATTCAAGTAAGCAATAAAATCACGTTAACTTAACTAGTGTTATTGATAGAAAACGGTAAATAAGTGTTAAAAATAAGATGTGAAATTAAAATGATGCGTAATTAATATTATAATTATTTGTTTAGTACCTCCAAGATGGAAAATTGAACCCGAAGATGCATCTGTGGTTCAAGGAAACTCGGTTCGATTCGACTGTCAAGCGGATGGTTACCCTCGACCTGTCATTCGATGGAAGAAACTAACAGGTGCTGTTCTACCGGTAAACTTTTAAAAACTTCTCCTCTGATCCTGCGGCTATAAATTAATTACATACGTGTGTATACATGTTCGATATCTTCAGGTCCTCCTTCTGAAGGTTTCCAAACCATAATGAGCAATGCTCGAATGCAAGTTCTAGAAAACGGTTCCCTTTATTTTCAAGATACCATCGATTCCGATGCCGGATCCTTTTTGTGTCAAGCGTTTAATGGTATCGGTGCCGGTTTGAGCAAAGTTATGAAACTCACCGTTCATGGTAGGTGTATACTGCACGTGATACAACATTTTGTCGTGATAAATTATTTTCTCTACTATATAATTACGGCATTAAAGTTAAGTTTGAATGACAAAAAAAGGTCGTATACAAAGTTTCTGTTATATATTGACATTTATTTGATTAAGTATTGTTAATGGAAAAATCGATTTTTGAAAAATCGACAAAGTGGCGCCATCTCTGTACATAAATTGTACAAAAATCGAATTTTGAATATATCATTTTTTTTTTAAATAGGAAAAAAGTTTATTTTATATACTTTATTTTCAATGCAATCTAACTTTATTAATTAATATAATTTAGGTTAATGTCATTATGTTTCTTTAATATTCGGTTCCTTATGCGGTATAACTTGATCATATTTATCAGTTTTCTGCAATATTACACCCACTTGACAGCTTGCCACTCATTCATTTTATCCAATGCACATTGCACTTGACGTTAATTACTGCCGAAGGTTTTCTGTTGTCAACTAAACTATTATTTACTATAAATGATATCCTTTATCCCAGAAGATAACTATTATCTTTAAATATCTTAATACATGCTAATTATATTATGTTTATACGATAACGAATTAAAATATATAATTCGACTTTTTTCATGAAAAATTACTAACGTAAAAACATATTTTATGTGTAAAGTTTAATAAAAGTTTCTAAACTCATAAAACATTTATATACCTCAAAAATATAAATACTTTCGCGTAAATTAGTAAAAAAAAAAAAAAATATTGTCAATGATACAGATAGATAGGGACGTCGAGAGGAAGGAGCTGGGGATTTTTTCCTAGTGGTGCCTATCCCTATAAATTTATGCTACTTTACTAACAGAAAATAAAATCTTTAAGAATGCTTTTTAGTAATAAAGAAACATTCTACTATTTCATTTGTTTAAAAAATGCCAAAAGAGTCCCGCTAAGGAACACCGAGTCTCATACAAGTTATCGGTCTTGAATATAGATAGATGTAGTTAGATATCAGATTGCCAATAACAGTTAAAATAGCGTAATTAACTAGTTAATATAACTCATAACTATATAATATAATCTAGTTATGAGAATTAAATAGACTTTCGTATTAAGTATCATAACGTACCAGTACAGTGCATAACTATATTCAACTCTAGTATAAAACTTACTGAAGCAGATGGAATCTAATTCTTGTAGTTTAAGGTGAGGAGTTAAGTTATTTATCTAATTAAATGCAACGTAAATATATAAAATTTAAGGAATATAATCTGTAAAATATAAGATTTGTCATTTATCATTTAAAATTTATCGAGTAAATATGATTTAGAATATATATAGGTCCGTATATGCACTTTATTATTAAAATATATTTTTGTTTATAAATAAAAAATATTATTATCATAGACTTTTTATTTAAATAAATTGATAAAGTGTGAGAAATGAATAAGATTATACTATAGCAAAAAGCAATATAATTAAACTCGATCAATTTTAAGATGGATAGAACATAAAATGATCATATAAGATATAGAATGGTCCATGACAATACATCAAAATTCACTTTTCATACATTTTTACTGCATCAATTGCAAAGTTACATTTTCTAACATGGTGTAATCTAATGTTTGAATCTAGAACATCGACACAGGAAGTAAAAATCATTTAGACAGCATAACTCATACTTGGCTGTCATATATGATGGAGTATTTATCATTCTGTGACAAGTAATAAATCACGTAACTTGTTATTTATAGTTTACGTCGCAATTTTGATTATAAACATGTGGCAACAAATACAATTTCAAAATGATACGAGAAATTTCTGTTGTTATATTCCATTTTATTCTTTTCTTTTCTACTTTTTTTTAGTTCCTGCCTATTTTATAACCATATCCTATTCTAAGAAAGTAAAGAAAGGCGATTCGGTTAGCATGGAATGTACAGCAAAAGGCGATAAACCACTTACTATAGTTTGGTTGAAAGATGGAAAACAACTAAACAACAATACAATTACAAGGTAAAACGTTTCACATACTTGTAACAACGAATATTAGTAAGTATTGTAATAAACAATTATATGGTAACTCATTAATAAAACTTGTATATGTCTCTACAAAGCGCAGATACAATGAGAGGCATTTTGAGAAAGATGGCGGCTCAACATCAGTTTTGACATTGCATAATGTCGAAAGGGAAGATTCTTCCGTTTTCACGTGTCTATCTTCAAATCCTTACGGAAATGATAGAACTACTGTTGATTTAACAGTTCAAGGTAAGCATTAGTTCCTATATCACTATGCACTTAGTTAAATTAATGCTAATTTTCTGATTTTAAACAGAACCACCGGATAACCCGGGTCATGTAGATTTAATAAGGGTTACGAGCAGAACAATTACTATAAGATGGCCAAGACCATTCGATGGTAATAGTCCTATTATAAGGTACTTAGTGGAGGTGGAATTAGTTAAAGGTAAAGCGAATTTCCGTCAAATATCCAATAGTGTTTATAATATTCATTCATTCTGTAGTTTACTTGCAGATAATAAAGGTTTAGGGAAATTTCTAGCTACGGAAGTTCCTGGATCGCAACTGGAAACAGTTGTACGTGGATTAAGTCCTTTAGCTACTTATAATGTTTACGTCATTGCGGAAAATAGTTTTGGTCAAAGCGAAGCGAGCCATCCTCTTATAATTACTACAGATGCGGAAGGTGAGATTACGTTCCCGGTATTTAATTATAAATTTAAATTTATCAATTCTGGAAGACTTGTTACTAGTTTACTTTTCGCTCTGATGACTTTTGAGTATTATTTCATAAACGTTACCTTTTGATAACGTCTGTAGTCATCTATAATATATTTATTCCACAGTTAGTGATCAAAATACTACAAGAACACTTCTAAGATCTTTATAAAAATTTCGTTTTAATTAAAATTTTATTAAGAAAATCTTTTAGTTCCTAGATTACCTCCGAGAGACGTCAAAGCCACCGCTATCGATTCCAGAACGATAAGGGTATCCTGGAAAGTAAGTCGAACTTTTCCCGCTAGATGGAGCCACATTGTTGCTTCCCAAACTCCACACCATCCTAAAGTGAATTTTTTCATTTTCAGCCGCCGATCTCCGAAGTGGATGGACGAGATTTTACCGGTTATTATGTCGGGTTTAAGAAGCTTAACAGCAAAGATTCATACATTTTTAAAACGTTTCAAGTTACTAATAAACAGAAAGAACAATATCTTCTAAGTAACTTGCAAAGTTCAACTAAATATGAAATTGTTGTTCAAGTGTTTAACGATAAAGGTGCAGGACCAGAGTCAGAAAAAATCGTAGCAGAAACCATGAAAGAAGGTTGTTATTATATATTTTATATATTATTAATGTTATATACCATAAAACCGACACTTTACATAATTATACATTTAAAAATCAATACAAAGTATAACAATTTTTAACAAAAGATGGGTGTAGCTTCTTTTACCAGAAATAATAGAATTTTCATATGACTTGTTAAGGTAATAAATTACATTTTATAAAAAGAAATTATATTCTTTAGATTAAAAATTTAACAGATTTCTTTTTCTATGAAACTTATTGTTATGTAATTCTAATTCTGTCAACAGATACAATGAAATGTTTAAAGAAACAATTTATAAAGAAATAGGATTAGAAAGCAAAAGTAGAATTATTGACTTTCTGCAAACAATTTAGAGAGCTTAACATAAGTGGAGTAAACAACAATTGATGTTATTACTTCAAGTTGAATTAGTTTCTAAATTTAAATAGTATTATTATTATTTTTCTTTCGTAACCAAAGATTAAAATAATTCAGCTTCAATTGAACCTTGTGAAAAATTTTAAACATTGAAATCTTCAGTATATATATTTATATATAGTCTATGCATATAGGAAATACCGATAATAAATACTAAAATATATTTTAAGCCTTTAAATTATATATACTGAACAATAAGCCTTTAATAAACCAGAGGTTTCCAGTTTTTTTCCTTGTCGACTTCTTTTCAAAATTAGATTTTATTCACCGATCACTTTCTATATTGATTTAAGAATAACGGATCTTACATAAATTGCATGTTATTATTATACTTTCCAACTATCATTCCATCCCTTGTAACGCTCCCTAACGCCATCGCACATAACCCACTCTACGTACACACGAATACTAAGGAGTAATAAATATATAGCACAGTTATATATGTAATTAATAAAATATACACTATGCTGTATATTCGTGGAAATTCAATATAAAAAATGAATTTGCAATAAAGAAATTCATAGTTCGCATACACCCTTCTATATACAGTACATATCGTTTATTTATTTGTTTATCGTGTTATATTGATTAGCTTTAGTATTATTATTTTTTATTTAGTTTGGTTACTATTTTTATGTTTTTATTTTATTTATTTATTTCATTTTACATTTTGTATTCTTTATTTTAAATTTATGCGTTTAAATCATTTGTATTCGAATGTACCATTTAAAAAAGTTCGAATACGATAACTCCTGATAATAACTTATAGAAATTAGGTTGAAAACATTTGTGATGTTTTAGATATATTCCTCAGCAAGCGTAAGGTAATCCAAAGCTCTGTTAAATATTTCTCATTTGCTGAGTCTGGTTGTGATTGCCCATCGAGGATTCGACTAGACCCACAATGTGGTGAAAAATATAAATTAAAATAAGACATACACCTTATTTTATTTTATATTTTTCTACATAGACGTAGCCTCAAATAAAAGACCGACTCTGTGGGTGAGGATTTGTATTAATATTATTTTTTGGTTGTCAATGGTGACTGAAATGGCGAATTGTGAAGACTTTTGTATTCTTCGTTATAATTTAACTACGTAAATTACCGTCGTCCACTTTTAATGAAAGGCGTATGCCTATTTAGGCTTTTAAATAAAAGTAAAAACTAAATAAATTGAAAAATATAGATCTATATTAAGTAAGCAAGGAAAAAAAAAAGTGCCACCAACCTTGATTAAATCCAAGTTGAAATAACGTTGGCAAATGGAAATTATGGTTGAAAATAATTAGCTTTTCCAATTTCTACTTTCTCACAGGTAGGCTAATAATAACGCCAAAATACGGTTAATGTTTGCCTAACATCACAGAAAATGACATTGAAAAATTTCAAAAATCAAAAAGTGTAAAAAGTAGGCAAATTCAATATGTTAATAATAAAAAACTTATGAGTGGCAGATAGAGGCGGCACCATACAGCTAACGTTGAAATAGTGTTACGCAGTGAATGACACTTAGAAAATACATACATCACATACATATTTTTTAAAATAAAAAGTTATTCGTCAATCCTAAAGATTCTTAATAATTTATCAGCCCTCCAAATCAATTGCTTGACCCCTCTCTGAAGAATGGAAACCCCTGATATAAAAGCTTATATACCGTTTATATGTATTAAATAAAATGTAAATGTATACTTATTCTTAAGAGCTTTCATTAATGTAAATATTTTTCCTTTATTTTTCTTCAAATAATTAACATTTTCTGCATTCTCTTACTCTAAAGTTTATTATACCCGTATTATGAAAATTCACGTACAGTAAACAATATATTTGATATATATTAATAATTTGATATGATATATTTTTATAGAAAGTTTACTTTTGTGTTCTTCTGAAACATTTTATTCTTTTCAGAATATTCCTAGTAGAAATATTGAAAATTCTATAATGGATAACTTCAGATATAAAAGTATATAGCAGTAGGGTACATTTTAGAAAAGAAAAAATGCAGGACAAGTTAACCAGTCTAGCTGAAATATGGAATTGAAAAGGTTCTGGTTGTTTGAAAAATAATATACTCTGTATAGTAGCAGTTTCCAAAGTCTGATAGGCCCATAAATGGGAAACTGTTTATCAAAAAAGTAAAGTTTTGTATTGAACAAGTTACAAATCTGTAATTTTTAAGCAATTTTATTTTATAAAAATCTTTGATATTTGCTAAAACTAACACAATTAAATTTTATTATTTTATTTACTTTCCTTTCTTTTATTTATTTTTTTATCTGAAACAAAGCTGATTAAAAAAATATATATTTTTTGAAGTAAATAAGCATTTGAAGATTATTTATTATTTTTTATAAATTTAAAACATTTGTTTACAATCTTTAAAATTCTTTATCCATAAAATAAAAAAAATCTTTGATCATTTTCGATTTGTTCCTAACCAAAATCAAATTTTATCTGGATGATAACAACAGGTTGATAATGTCAACATGTCAATATGAATGTCATTTCCTCTATTCTGACTCGTGATTTCTTTGCCAAAATCAATATTCTTTGATATTGTTAAGATCGAAGAATCACTTTCTCTATCAGTATATAAAAAAAAACTACAGTATATTTGAAGATATATTGATAGAAAATGATAGCTGAAGTTGTAATTTAGAACTATCTTTAAGAAACATTCCAAAATTTATATGTAAGGATTAAAAGAAATATTAAATTTAAAATTTAATTAAAAATGTTTTCGATTGTAAGTTCAATTTTATTAAATTACTGTAAATTTAATTATATTATTTCAATCAAAGAGTATTGATCTAAAATACAAAATATCATAAAATATTTAAAACGTATTTACATTTTAAATAAAATTCGAATAAATATAATAATATATTTATAGAGTAATTAAAATTTTAGTTGTTTTATTATTTATATTTTATTACGTAAACATTTATTTAAAAATCTAAGAAAAAAAAGAGCTTATAATTAAATAATGCTCTTCAAACTTTCCTATTATTTGCTAGTTTCAAATTGTCATTTAAAGTTTATTTTATTTTTCTTAACTTTCAAAATGAATAATAAATTAAATTCTTTTAAAGGAATATCATTAAGTAATGTGCTACATTGTAAATATTAATTAATTTTTCATTATTATTATTATGAAGTGATGATAATTAAGTAACGTTGACGAAACTAATAATAAAACTGTGTAATCGAATTTTTCTTTTGTTAAAATAATTATAAAAGAATATTAATTATAAATCAAAATTCATTTATTTAAAAGTAAACAATATTTATTTAACTTTTTNACAAAAAATTATAAATAGTTACCCAATAAATTCAAAAAAGAAATAATTTGCTAACAATTAACTTAATTATAAATTATTAAGATAAATTTATTATTTTAAGAAATTAAATAGTTTTTATTTATTTGAAGACTTGAAAATTATTATTATTTTTTTTAAATGATGACAATTAATCACGAAGAAATTGTGTTATTCATTTTCATTGGACATAATTCGAAATTATCTTAAAAAATAATAATAATAAAGAAATAATTAAAAATTGTTTGTTTTTAATAACAGATTATTTGAAATATAATTTAGCCATTTATTTAAAAAAAGTTTCTTTATATTTGGTAATTTTTATATTTAAAAAATTAATTTAATATTTAGACTTTCAAGCATAATTTTGTTTTTTAATTAAAAATAATAAAAACTTTGTTTTATATATATAGGCTATATTATATGTATTAGAAATATGTATAGGCCCTATATGTTTTATATATATTATATATATATCATACGGTTTCTATTATTTTAGCATCTGTAATAAAAGTTTTTATTTTTTTTACTTTAGTATTTTAATATTTTTCTATTTTATCACTTGTGTGTTTTTGTTGTTTTACGTTGCCTTTAATGCCTACGTTTGTTAATTATATTGGCCATCTTTTGTCTTTATAAGACTTTACTACTTTTGTTGTATAAATAAATATATCTGTACAAAGGAATTTAATAAGATTTTCTTTAATTTAAAACGAAAATCTAAAGGATTTAAACAAAGATTTTATGTAACATAAAAAAAAAAGTTATTTTCGTTTCTTCGAATTGTGATCCCAAGAGAAGTTAGAAATACTATAGAGACACGAAGAAATCTACACCCAGATATTGAATGAGCTCGAAGAATGACTGTAGCACTTCTAAAGATAACGAGTATATTAGAAAAGATTGATATTTTTTTTGGTGTGTGTACGTGTGTGTATGTGTCTGTGTGTGTGTGTAGCTTATAGCCTTTAAATGAATTTTATATAAAAAGCGAGATATTTAAAATGCTTAATAATATTTATAGTTTAAAAATAGATAAGTAGGATTTAATTTTGATTTAACGTTTTATTGATTTTTATCGATTAAAAGTTGAGTGTTGCTTAATGTAGATGTAGGCTTATTCAGAGTTTGATTCTGCATATTAAATCAATGCTAAACTCTCAATACTATGAATTGATTTGTGACTTTACTAAGATTGAAGACCTTAAAGCAACATTCTGGTTCGATTCCGATTAAATGGGATATTTTACGATTAATCAACGTAAAATTACATTTATTATCACAGATTCGTCCATTTGTTGGGTTGCTACATTAATCAACATAATCATTTCTGTCATCGAGCTTTAGGAAAATTGTTAGATCTTGATTTTTATTACTATCATTTTTTTGATAATAATGAAAATAAATGATATATAAATGAATAGAATTTATATTAATTAATCATTATTGATTTCTTTTAAAAAATAAATAATAATTTAAATAGAATTGTTCGAAATATAACGAAAATTTTAAATTTTATTATATTTTCGATATTTTTTTCGTTTAAATAAAAAGTATTTTTAAATTGAAGAGTTGAATTATAGTCAAATGTTCAAATATCCATCTATTAGTTGATAATGAGATTTTATTTGATGAAATTTTTGAGTGAAAAAGGATAAAAAGATTACTTCTTATCCTTCAAAACTTTAATATCTGCAATTGAAACTAACTTAAGTGAAGTTAATGAGTCAAGAACAAGAGAAAATTAATAAAAGAGTATATTCCTCCATATTATGCTATCTAGATTCGCAACATTAACTCGAACATTTTAAAAAGTCGATGCATAGATGTTATTCAGGATCATTACTAACTATTAACTAACTTTTCCAATTTAGATAATGTATAATTTATAGTCGAATTATTTAACAGTATATATATTAATAATTAAAATTAATTAATTTTTTTAGAATATTCTCATCCTGTATCATTGAAGATTGTTTTAACTACTCTGACAACAATACAAGTCGCTTGGGATTCGAAATCAACTAATGATGGTATTTTTTGTTGATTTTAGTAATGATTTTAAAGTTTTGTGGTGTTTTTAATAGTTAATTTTATTTTTTCTATTACAAAAATATCTAGGTTACGTACTTTATCTTCGTCAAGGAGATGGTAGTTGGACAGAGACATCAGTCCCTGTTGGTCGAACAAGCTATACGTTCACTAATCTTCGTTGTGGTTCTGTACATCAATTATATATCGTTGCACAGAACAAAACTAAAAAAGGAAAACCGAGTGAAATCATTACTACTAGGACAAAAGGATCTCGTAAGGGGATTTATCTCGTTCAATAACATTTGACGTATGAACAAAATTGATATAAATTGATCAAAGTTTACATTCGAACAATGCCTAATATCATCTTACATTATTTTTCAGTACCCAAAGCGCCGAGTAATAAAGCTTTTCTTATAATCAACTCCACTTCTGTCACGGCAATTTTGTCCACTTGGGATAATGGCGGTTGTCCTATTTCTTCTTACATCTTGAAATACAGATCGAGTATAGATAAAGAATGGAAAACCATTTCGGATGATATATCATCCATTAAATCTAAAATCTCTATAACTGGTCTATCCTCGGGAGAAAAGTATTATATATTATGCGGTGCTCGAAATTCTGCTGGCTATACAGAAACAGAGTACGAATTTGAAACAAAAAAGTTAGATACAGGTAATGGGTCCTTAAGTTAATAATTAAACTATTTCATTTTTTAACTTTTCAGAATTAAATATAATTTGTTTGCTTTAATTCTTTTTAATTTAAAGATTATCGCTATAAAGCTGTAATCAAGTCTAAAAATTCCAAAGAATGACTTCGAGTTAAATGCGGTCGAAGAGCAATCAAACGGGATTTACTCAATGTACTTTGTTTTTTTTTTTTTTTGACAGAACATAATAAAAAATCGGTGCCTGAGGCTTCAACTACGGATTTACAAAGAAAAGTTGCAGTTATCACATCAACCGTGTGTTCCGGTGCTGTGCTTATAGTGATTTTGGCAGCTGCATGCGCCATTCTTAACAGGAGAAGGAGGCAAAGAAGAGAACCACACGATGTAATTGCAGGTTAATATCACTTAAACATATCTTTAATACTAGTACTTAAAATCTAATTCAAATTACAAGATTTCAAAACAAAAAAAAATTAATGTAAGACTAATTTTTAAAATATTTAACACAGAAAAGGAGTTTCGATGCCGGTATAAATCAATAAAATGCATATAATATACTTTCTAAAATAAAACTTTTTATATAAATAATAAGTTTTGAAGTTTTAAAGATTAAAAAAAAAAACAAATATTTTCGAACATCCATAGATCGAAGAAACGTAGAAGCTAGCAAATCTGAAGGACTTGCAATGAATGTTTGGGAAAAAAGAAGGAAGTCTGATACACGCAATTCCCAAGGCCGGGAGCCACTTTATCTTCCTTGTCCATATGCTGCTGAGAGACTCTACCAACTTTCAATAGATGGCGATAGCGACATGCCAAGTAATGGTGCTACTGGCACCATCAACGATCACTCGTATGACGTACCTATACAACTAATGAGTAAATCTCACTAAACGTGTACAGTAAATGAACTTTTTTTATTCTTCCAGCCGAAATGTAAAAAAAGAAATTAATAAAAATCATTTAAAAAAAAAGAATTTATCGAAGTGCGTCCATATTGTTCCATAATTGGACTAAAAACTAGTTATGTTTTTTTATGTTTTCGTCCCTGGGACAAGTATTATGTACAGAAATTTGAATTCGTTTCATCTTTTACGAGTCTGTGAGTGTTATGTCGTTGGTATATTGTAAATAAAGTATCTTTCACACATTTGTTTTAAATTTCTTTTTTTCTTAATTTTTCTCCTATCAACATGCAATGCAGCAATTGTCTATTTCATAAATCTCATCTTTTTCTTTATTTTTTTAAAATTATTTTTTACAAAATCTGAATCTTAATATTTTCTTCTGCATTGTAAAACAATCTTCGTGACTACTACTTTAAATAAAAAAATAAATGAAATAATTTTAGACCACCAATAAATATTTTTTTTTATATATATTTACAGGTATATATATCAAACGATATTCTTCCTTTACATTTACATCACTATAACCAATATTTTTTTTTATTTTAAAAAATGTTAAGATCCTGTCACAGTAGAGATGAATCACAGGACGGATAAATCACCTTTTTTATATATATATATA